ATTTCTCTCCTCTCTCTCTCTCTCTCCTCTCTCCTCTACTCTCTCTCTCTCTCTCTCTCTCTCTCTCTCTCTCTCTCTCTCTCTCTCTCCCCCCCCCCTCTCTCTCTCTCTCTCTCTCTCTCTCTCTCCATATACACGGTAAAGGATCAAAGGTAGAAAGGTAAACTGGGTGAAGGGAGAGGTGGCAAGACTCGTAACAGGTGTCAGTTATGGTGAAGGTAGGGTTTTGGTGACAAGATGACAAAATTAATCAAGGACGGCCGTGGAATAAGAAAGCACTTCAGAACACAGTGAGTGTCTCGTTTTAGGATACAATATTTTTGCTTTATAACTGTGGCCATGGCCCATTTTCAAGGATATTTTGGTAGTATTTGTAGTTTATTTTACCTGAGAAAGGAAATTTTAAAGCTATTTTATGGTTGATTTGGTATAGTAGAGTGTAGAAATGCAGGTAAAAGGTGCATTTTAAAGTAGTGGTTTATTATAGGGAAAGATATGTTGATACATTTTAACATCTTGGTGGTTACACATTTCCATGGAAGTTGAAACATGGGAAATAAGTGTTAAACAGTATTGAATTGCTCTTCAACCATGGTTTGGGTAGAAAACAATAGGTCGGGCTATGCTTATTTCTGTGTAGAGTCTTGGCACAGATTTGTACAGAGAACAGGCCAGGGCACACACTCTTGTTTTCTCCATAAAACTGTGATTTACGTCAGATAAAGCATTAGTGATGAAGCTTTACTGAAAATTGTGGAAATAATTGTCTCAACTTCAACTTGCCAATTGTTTCCTCTATTTTTCATTAAGCTCTGCTACGCATGCTTTATCTTTTACATAGAATGCTTTTGCATGTTAGAAAAAACATAGGCATATTTGCTGATAATTGTCCTGTGTAATAACCCCATTGGAACTGTTCACAGTGAGACTAACTTAGACCAGAAATTGACCAATTGACTTCACCAATGGGTCTGGTTATTAGACACAAAAATGAAGTTTTTAGCTGCGGTGTGGATTCACGTATAATCTGGTCTTGTCAGTTAGTCTGATTCTGGTTTGATTTGGTCTTGATGTGAACTGGGCTTTTTTGTTTGGAACATTGTGAAATGCATCCTGTGGTTTTATTGTTTACTATTTAAATTTAAGTTTACTGTATTTTTTTGCTAGTCTTTGCTTTTGTTTTTTCATTACGTTTTACTTTGTTTTGAAATGTTCTCTGTTTACTTGATTGTTATAATATTTTCAACTGCCTTTCAACAACTCTTTCAAGTTTATGTTTATAGGCTATCGAAAGTCTATTTTCTTGATCTGAATCAGTCTGATACTTGTATTTGATTTAATTTAAGTTTTAAATATCCAAATTTAGAATTATAATGAATTCCAAAGCAAATGCATCTTGACCTTTTATACACAATGCTAACATAGAGTGCATCAAATAGAGTTTTTATAAATAATTTCCTGCCCTGCTTTCATTGTAGTAAATGTACTTTTATACTGAAGTTCAACTGCTCTTTGTAATTCAGAATAAAAGTAAAAACAAGAAAAATGGCATAATTCTCGTGTTACGCACACTGTTCCTGGTATTACACATAAATGAAACTTCTTGGAATTAAAACAGTATCTTGACTGGATTTCATACAATCGCTACAAAAGTTGTTGGAGTATAGTGAAAAAAAAAAAGAGTTTATCTGTGACTGTCATCGACCAGCCAGCAGGCAGACTCAATTTTTTTAATGAAATTTGAAAAATTTTGTGACAAACATTTGGAAATTTTAGATCATACAACATTCTACAGATTGCTGAAGATGTTAAATGCTGTATTTCATATTCCCATTCCAAGAAGTTCTATTTTATTCTAGGTTAAAGACCTATGAAAAATTTAATCAACATGGTCTTTTTGTAATGGTCATAATTGCAATTCTCCATTCCTATATCTCCAGGAAGAAACCAAGAAGAGTATGGAAGATCTTCAGGGCAAGCTACAGCGTGCAACAGAAGAACTTGATAGGAAGAATGTAGAACTTCAACAAAGAGAACAAGAAATAGAAGAGCTGCAGAAGAAGCTATCTGAGGCTGTCAGGGAAGAGCCTGAGGCACCTGGTCAGGTATGCTGTTTGAAAAAATTGCCCTTTTCACTTGATATGGTACACTTTTCTGTTTCTCACCATTTTGAGAGATTGATAACTTATCAGTGTGGCTATTAAGTAAGATACTCGTTTAAGTAGATCCCCATTCATGACACAGCTAGTAGCCAGATTTATTAGTTTTGATTGGTTCAAAAAGTGGGGATTGAATATTGAAAGGGAGTGAAAAAACCTGTCGCAGAATTACATACTAGAACCAGTCAAAATGGCGCAAAACAGAAATGGTCCTTAAAGTGTGTTCATGACTGGTCTGACTTTTTGCAGAAATAGGTAGTGATGTCAACAAATGGACAGATCAAGCAATTAGAATGTCCTGTCATGTCTCTGGGTGTAAAATCTCATTTTACTCAGTCAAACTGTTTGGTATTTCTGATGGTTAAGTCGAGAAAGTTCACGATTTGAAATTTCAAAGGACAACTGAATTAGTTTCTGTTAGATTGATTAAAGATGTTGAAAAAATTTTTAGGGAAGATGTATTTCCTTCATGTTTGAGTCACTTGGACTTAAAAATAAAAAACCTATAATAATTATAGGATGAAGTTCAACAATCTGAAGCAGAGTTGAACTTGAAGGTCCAGCAACTGGAGACTGAAAGAGATCAACTAATGGCCCAGTGCCAAGACACACAAGACAAACTAAATAGAACTGTATCAGAGTTGGGAGATAAAGACCAACACATTCAGCAGCTCCAAGCCCAGTTCCAAGAAACAAAGGACAAACTCATTGTAGAGCTAAAAGAAAACGAGGACCACATTCAACAACTGGTGTCACAAAACCAAGAGTCTAAAGACAACCTTGTTGCTGAGCTCGGAGAAAAAGAGCATCAAATTCAGGAGTACACAGCTCAGCTTGAAAAGGTGAAGAGTGAATTAGGCCTGTCGAAACAGGTGGTGGAGGATCTAAAAAGGAGCCACCACAGGGAGCTGACATCTGTTGAGTCGAGGAGCAAAGAGGATATCCACAGTTTGCATCAGAACCTTCTGGAAGCCAGAGCACAGCTGAGTGTCTACCAGGCGGGAGATGCTGGGACCACAGCAAGAACTATGGAACAGGTAAACAATTCTCAGTATATTTGAGTTGTGTTCAGACCAGTTCTAAACTAAACTGGGAGACCAAATGATGTCACCAAATGACCAGAATTTATAGTAAAACTTATATAACCACAGTACTGTACCAAGAATTCCATGAGTAATATTTTTAGATTTGAGAAAGTTTGTCTGTCATTTGGTTCTATTAAAGAAGATTTATTGTACTAGCTTTGATGTTTTTCTATGGATTTGTTTGTTTGTTTTCAGCGTCTGAAGGAACTACGCCAAGAGCTGACATTGGAGCATGAGCAACACTTAACTCTTGTGAAGCTGGCAGCAGAAAAAGACACTGCTGTCAAGTTACAAGAATTAAAAGAGAAACTGGAAAGGGAGGTAGAGCAGTTACAAGAACAGCACCAGAGAGACTTGAAGAACGTTACCTCAGCGACACATCAAGAGGTGCAGGAGGCACACGAGAACGAAATCCGTGAACTTCGCACTGAGCATGCTAGAGAGGTAGAACAGTTGCAGAAGATGCTGGGTAAGTTGGAGAACCATTTTAACCTAAATACCTAATATTTGGTTAAATTCTTCAGTGAACAACTGCGAAACTCTTTAAGCAGATTGATATCACAGCTACAGGTCTCTTTATATAATTTACATGTCTTCAGACTGTATACTAAATTATATTTACTAGTGATACCTTGTTTATTCCATTTTATTGCCATTGTGTGCTATATTTACATTCATACTTGCACTATCAACATAGTAATTTCATATTTGTACGATCAACAAAAGTAAGTCAATTGTTAGAATGCTCAGTGCCTGTATGTGTACATAGCATGTTTTATAGAATAGTATAAAAGTAAATATTAAGTCATCAGTGATATGCATAATCTCCTCTGACTTTTTCAGCTCCTGATGCATCCGTGACAGAACTGGCGAGACAAGTGGAGAAGGAGATAGAGAAAGGGGAACAGCTTGACCAAAATCTGCTGAGTCATCTTGAACAGCAGCGACAGGCAGGCGTAGGGGGAGATGGCAGCACTGACACCAGCATGGCGGAGTCCAGTCAAGAGGAGATACCTCCAAGACTAAGGGTATGGTTCTGATTCATTCACCCCCTCCGTAAGACATTTCTGCTGGTTTTGATTTTCATAAGTTACTGGAAATGATTTTGAAAATCAGGTTTTTAATATGTTGCAGGAAATAGGATAAAATTTAAAAATTATGTAAAATCATATTTGTCTGATCTGTGGCATGACCTGAAGCAACAAACATGCCTTAAAGAAATTTTACCAGAAGGATTTAAAACATGAAATTGTTTTGAAGGAGCATTATTTCTGAAACTCAGGTGTCTCTTTGTTTATATTAATATGGAGTACAAATAGATAGATTGTGTAAGACATTTACACTGATGTGTAGAATAAAACACTTATAAAACACAAGATGGGATTGAATTTGATTGAATTGAGGGTGTTCAAGCCTTCAATGAAACAAAATAGTTTCATGGTAATAATCTTGTCTTTGTTACTATTCAGAGCCTGTTAACTAAGCTCCATGGTGAGGGTATGGAGCTCCTGGCACTGTCGGAGATCAAACCCCAGGGTCGTCACACACCACTGCAGGCAGACCTCGACACCCTGAGACTGGCATGGGAGAATGAGAGACAAAACCTGCTGTCTTCTATACAGTCACTCAAAGATTTACTTGCTCAAACTCAAAGACCCGAATCACAAGCTGTGAGTGCCTTAGTTGTTATAGTAAGATTTGTAAAATAAAAAACGACAGACAAACAAAAATTTTTATCTGGTATTATTGTGACCAAGAATTGAAAATTTCTCTCTTGTAAATGAAGTATGTCACCAGTCATAATAACTCTCAAGTTACAAACACAACACATAAAAATGACATGTGTCAAGAAATGTTATTCTTTGCTACATTTAAATAAATTATGAAAAAAAAACTTAAGGTAATCAGGATGTGTAATTCAATATTAGAAATTGTAGACAAAACCTCATTCTGGATATCTTAAAATTTATTGAAAATTTTTCATACCATTATTTGATAAAACACTTTAATCAATGTCTTTTCCGTTCCAGTCATCTGGAGGGGAGTCAGATTGGAGGGCCAGCCTTATCCAAGCCATCAACTTTGTCTTCAGTAAGGAGCGAGAGGGGTTGCTGGCCGAACTGAGGACATTTGTGGCCACGCACGGTGACCAGGGTCACTCAGAGATACAGCAAATGGAACAGAGGATTAAAGATGTGGTGAGCAGTTATACTCTGACCACGGGGTCTGCTAGTTGTCTGTTACAAAATTATTGTATCAAATCCTGTGGGATTTGCCATGATCAGTGGGAACGCGTTCCTTGCCAGACATAACCTTTCTATAAATCTGTAAAAATGAAAAATAGTATAAAGCAACTGCCAAAATTTCCATTAGACTGGTCAGATTAATAACTTTGAAAAATTCAAAATATTGACAGTTCAACCTTAAAATCTACTGATCACTTTAATACCTGAGACAAGTGTCTTAAATTGTAGGCCTTGTTTCTATATGTATTAACATCAAAGATAACAACTGCTCGTAATGTTCAAGGATGCTCGCCACAAGTCTGCCTATTCAATTTTGCATTAACTTCAAAATTACTGATCACTTGAATGACATAAGTATCTAAATTTTCAGACCATGTATATATATATATATATATATATATATATATATATATATATATATATATATATATATATATATATATATATATATATATATATATATATATATGTATGTATGTATGTATGTATGTATGTATTATGCTAAACTTAAAAAATTGGTTGCGATATTTCAGGATGCTCGTCACAAGTCTGCCATGGACCAGATATTCAGCGCAGACAGGCAGTCCCTGCTGGCAGAGGTACGAGACCTACAAGCACATGTCAGCATCATACGCCTGGGTCACCAAGAGGAGAAAGAGAGGCTGGCCGAGCAACTCCGCCATGCTGAGGGTCAGCTGACCAAGAGGGAGAGGCAGTTGAAGAGACAGCGTAGGTTTTATAGTCCTTTACCTATATAGTCCTGGGTTTTGGTTATGAATGAGTTTTAAGATTCACTTCACAAATTAGACAGTGTTTGTTTGAAATACTTTACCTAAGCGGTCATAATTTTCTTTTTTAAATGTTTCAAAATTCACTTCACAAAGTATCAGTTTTGCATCAGCGTTGCTGCAATTCATTAATTTATTCAAAGTCTTCATAACAGTTTCAACTTTCTGAATTTATATAAGGCTGTATTCCCAGAGCTTTTAGATCGATCTATCCCCGCAGGGAGTCTCACTAGATTACTGTCAGATAATCCGGCTTAAATGTCCGTCCCGCCTACTACAAGCTGTAAGGGGGTAATTAACTTTCGTGTCCGCTCGGCTGACAGCTATTTAGCGTGAACCCCCAGGGAGTTAGGTCGATCTAAAGTAGATCGATCTAATCTCTGGAAATGGGGTCTTAGTTTACAATACTACTTATCTGCAGATAATCTTTTGTTCTATTTATTTTTACAACTTGGATAAACACTCTGAAGTATGCTTCTGATAATTTCAGTGGAAATGTTAGAATACAAGCTCCAGCAGGAGAAGGTGATCTGCGACGATGTCCGCTCCAGTCTGGAGATGGAGAAGAATCGCACCCTGGAGCTGTCAGGACAACTGAGCAGAGAGAAGAGTAACTGCGTAGATCTCCAGCTGGAGCTGTCCGAGGCTCTTTCCCATCTCTCCAAGCTGAAAGATACGGTAGATAGTCAGCAGATCAAACACGCCTCTGTGCTGTAAGTATATATATCCAGGCCTTGTGTTGTGTTGTGTTGATTGGTGTTGTATTGTAATGGATTGTAATACATGATTATGGATTGTAATACATGATTATAATGACTTGTGTGGTCTTGCACTATAGACATTTTAACACTATATCTCTGTGGAAATTGGGAAACTAGAGGTTGTTCAAATGTAGAATTTCTTTTGAAACTTTATACTTTTTGGGAGCAGGAATAAAGGGTGCTTTACAAAGAATTTGGGTTCCACTGTTTTTTTTTTCTTTTAAAGAAACATTGAAGAAAATGGACCAATTAAGTCTAATGATTACTCTATCTGTTGTTTAGTTATTGGCTGACATAAAATAATGATTTTGCTTGTTGCAAGCCAGTAATAAACAGTAGGCCTGCTGAGATTGGTCTCACTGAGTTAAATCAACCCAACTTAACTGGAAACTTATTTTCATATTTTCTAGCGCTTCTCTGGAAGAGGAAAAATCTCACAGCCGCCATTTGAAAGAAGAACTTGAAAATGAGCGGTACAGCAAAAAACAGCTGAGTGACTCTTTGAACGAAGAAAGGAGAAGGAGTCTCAATTCCAAGGAGAGAGAAACAAAGACCATAGAGGTAATGTAGATCACAAATATGTATTAGAGGTATTCAGATATTACATGCATATTAAGTTGTAAAAAAACATCAGTTAAAATGCAGAGTCATTCTGAGACTCCTGAAAGTTAAGACTCATCTTGTCTTGGCAGTAGAAGGCCACTAGGTGGCAGCAGAATCATAACTGAACTGCTGTTGTTCAACCACTAGATGGCAGCACAGGTATTACAAAGTTTTAAGCACTGATGATGCTGATGCTTCATTGTTACGTTTCAGCAACTTCAATATGAGCTTGATCAGGAGCGCGCCCTGCACACAGAGGTGAGGACGAGCTATGAGAAGGAAAAGCTGTGTGTGGAAAACATGCGCAGAGACCTTGAGCTGCAGGGTAACGAGGCCCGCAAGCTGGAGAACAAGTACAAGGTGAAGGTGGCGGAACTCATGACGGCCTTGGAGATGGAGAAGGCTAGGAATGAAGAATATAACACGTAGGTTATTTGCTCCACTCCATCATATCGCGTTTCTTTGATTATAATGGTGAAAAATGATGAAATATGTTGTTCAGTTTAATATTCAAGATATATATTCAAGACTTTATTTTGAAACAATTTTCTGAAAGCTGATAAATAAATTTAACAAGCCCAATTTTGTCTTTTACTTACTCTGTTTATATTTTAATGCATTTGTGTTTAATATTTATGTATTTGTATTATATTTTGTCATTATGTTTAAAATAATTATCCATTGGCAAGGCTGTTATATTGTGCTTTTTCACCAAATGCCTTCTTCGTTCAATTTAACTTTATATATGATGTCATACTCTGAAGTTCTGCAGTGATTTCTTTCACCTTTTTACTTGTGAAATAAAAATTTGAATAAGATAAACTCAAGACTCTATACATAACAAAATTGTTGTTGTAGTGCTCTACAAAGACAGCAAAGTGTCAGCAACCAGTTACAGACTGCACTGAGCGAGGAGCGGAGCAGCCTGAACGAGTCCGCGCTAAGAGAGAGGGCGCTTATAGCTGACCTGCAGGCCATGCTGGAGCTGGAGAAAAGTAAAGTTCTGGACATGCAGGCGGCCCTGGAGAGGGACAGGTATAAGGTACGTGGAGAGGACAAATAAGAAATAAAATGGGAATTGGAAGTCGACTTTCGAGTTGTATGCAGATTTATGTGAATGCCTAAGTGTGATGTTAAGCTGTGGAAGATTGCTCTTAAGGTAGTGTGATTTCCATCATTTGAGACATGTAGAAATCAATATTCAAAGAAATTTCGTAACAGTAATTATAAAAAATTCACAACAGTTATCATAAAGAGATTGTTGCCACAAATAATTATATAAGCAGTCAAGACTTTTTATAGTGATATCTCAAAAACATGCAGGCTGTTCTGGAGAGAGCCATATTCAAGATACATAGGCCACAAGGGCCAGGTTATTTGACATACTTCAAATACAGAGTTGGTCTATAAAATCTGAAATAATAACTATATAGAAAAATTATACTGCAATGAGGGAAATGTATGAAATTTGCTTTTTATTTATTTTTTTATTTAAATTTATTCATTAATACCCTAGGTGACCAGTTTGAGTGCGAGCCTGGAGACCACTAAGACGGCAGCTGCAGAGGACATTGAGAGGGAGAGATCAGCCAGCAGACAGCTCAGGAAACAGATAGATACCCTACAGGTGTGTGTGTGTGTGTGTGTGTGCGCACACGTGCATATGTGCGTGCATATGTGTGTGTGTGTGAGAGAGAGAGAGAGAGAGAGAGAGAGAGATAAAAGTGTCAGTTTTGATTTCGTTTCATTCCTTTCATTCACATATTTTTCAGTTCTTTCGATGGAATGTCATAATGAACTTCAATATAGGGCTTATTTACTCAATTTATAAACGAAATTCATGAATTCTTAAAAGATGATCTTAAAGTTTTGAAAAGTCACATCAGAGAAAGAGTGTGAGTGAGTGAATATTGTTAATGCTGAAAACAAATTATTGAAATATTGAGGAGTTTGCAGTTTCTGAGTAGTTACTAAATTTTTTAGCTCCAGAAGCAAGACCTTCAGAGACAGCTGGACTTTGAGCGGGAACGTTCCATCCAGCTCCAGTCTGAACACGACCGTGTCTTGGAGAACCTGCAAGCTGTCAAGGAGAAGGCGATGAAAAAGGACGAAGAACGAGATCTGGAAAGACAGCACGAAAGACAGAGACAGAGAGAAAGTGATAGAGAGAGAGAACAAGACAGGCAAAGACAGGTATGTCATAATATACACATGGGCATGGTTTGGGTTATAGTGATTAAGATTTAGGAAGGGTTTAGGGGGGTAGGTCACAAAACAACCTGGAGAAGAAAGTTGAAAACTAAAACCAATACAGAGAGTTAATAAAACAAGTAACAAACATGAAATATGCCTGTGTGATGCAAGAAATTGTAATTTTAAAAAGTCTTTATATCATTGGATTGGCTTTTAATTGTGAAAAAAAATTATGATGTGATAGATAGCTATAACATCTGGACCAGAAATATATCTCATTGAGTCTACCTAGTCTGCCTCATTCAGAGTAACAGTAAAGTCCCCTGTTCCTGATTTCAGCACGAGACAGACGCCGAGGTCCAGCGTCTCCGGAGTCGTGTTAGTGACCTTGAGGGTCAGTTGTCTGAGAGCCAGCGTATTGAGCTCCAGACTGCCCAGGAAAGAGACCTGCAGAGGTTGAGAGCACTGTCCAGGGCCTCTGATGACCTGGTAGACCACATGGACAACTCTGTGGGAGGGGTGAGTGTATTAGTGATGAAAGTCTTCTGGGTGGTACTGGAGATTTGGGTGGTGTATTTGAAAATGCCCCCCTCCCCTCCCCCAGATCCCCAATAATGCATTTTCAGGAGGTCCACTTTCATCTCTGTTTTAATACTGAGCATTAATATGTTATAAAGATAATAAATGATAGTGGCAAAAGTGTTCTGGATTAATCCTGAAATTCAGGTGTTGTTATTATGCCCACAATTATACATTTCAGAAAATCACATGTGAGCTTGTAAAATGTTCACGCAATATGTTAAAGAATGTGAAAGTACAATGTCATCATATTTTTGCCTGTAATAGAGATTGTTTTGGAAATTTTTACTATATATAGATGAAATGTTAGATGCCTAGAGTTCACCCAAACAGGGTATGCAGATCATTTATTCTGTAAGACGTACATTGCAATTGCTTAAATTTTTATTAAGGATGAAAGTACATCCCTAAGTCCCCGTGGAAGTCCTAAGAAGGATCAGCTGAACCTGTATAAGAAACAGCTAGAGAGTCTGCGGCAGAGGGTGCAGCTCCAGGTGATCAGGCTTAGAGAGGAGGTGGACAAACTGGAACGGTGAGCACTCCCAGGAATAATTCAGTACTCCTGGGAATAACCATGTTAGTACTCCCAGGAATAACTGATAGAAGTCCTGGGAATAACTTTGTTAGTACTCCCAGAAATAATTGTAAGTGCTCCCAGAAATAACTGTTTGTACTCAAAAACTGAGTCTATTTTGAATATTTCTGCACTTGATTTAGACTGCCTTCCCACAGATTTAGATTGATCCATCTGAATCGACCTAACTCCCTGGGAGTTCATGCTAAACTGCTGTTAGCGGAGCGCGTACTATAGTTAATTACCCCCTTACAGCTTTTAGTAGGTGGGACAGACATTTAAGCCGGTTAAGCTGACACCAATCTAGTGAGACTTCCCAGAGGGATAGATCGATCTAAAAATCTGTGGTAATGCAGTCTTAGACTGAACATTTTCGTTTTGTGTGCTTTGCTGTTTTTTGATTGACAATGGGGACCTGGCTATTGTTTAAGAGAGACATTTTCAACATCGCCATTTAACCAGATTACTTTTGTTGGACCAAACAGTTGGAAGCGGTTTATGAATTGCTAATATTCATATGTCGTACACTGATGAAATGTTCATATTTCTGAGTAACAACCTCACTCCTGTACTATTTGTAGTGAGAGTCCAGGTGTAGACAGGGGAGGCAGTGTGGAGGCCATGAAGAGGAGTGCTGCAGAGATGATTAATGAGCTGGGACAGATACAGACGGCTTTACTGCTAGACTCACAGGTATGACTCTTCCATACTCTTACTAGACTCTCAGGTATGACTATTTGCTCACAAAGAAGGGCATTCAATAGTAAGTTCCTGTGCCATATTTTGTGAACACATTTGAGAAGAAGAAAGCTAAGATATGTAGTTACTGCATGCACATGTTGAGTGTAATTCTTGTTTTTGTACATATTTAAAAAGAATAATTGTCAAGTCTTGCCTGCTGCTAAAGGCACTTTAACACCCTTATATAATTTTGATGTTTCCGTCTTTAACAACTTTTCAAGTGTCATCTGGCTTCATGTATGTTATTACAGTAGTTTACCTGTATAATTTACCTCAGTTGTGAACGCGACTCTTATGATACTTTCCAGCCTGGCAGTGTGCCCATTGGCTCCCCACCAGCCCACATACTGAATGAGAGAATCCTCCGCCATAACTCTGAACTGACGGCGTTCGTGTCGCGGCTGAGTCAGGAGAAGTCAGAGCTGAGAGACACGCTAGCGAACCTTGAGGAGGAGATCTGGAGATATAGACAGAGAGAGGGGGCAGGTTCACAGGTGAGAGATTAGTTAAAGGTAAAATTTTCGGAGATACAGACAGAGAGAGAAAGAAGGGGGGGGGGGCATGCTCACAGATGAGAGATGTTTAAGGTTTAATATCTGGAGATACAGACGGGGAGGGGGGGGGGCAGGCAGGCAGGCTCACAGGTGAGAGAAAGATATATAAGGTATAATTCTTGGAGATACAGACAGAGAAAGGGGGCAGGCTCACAGGTGAGAGAGATGTTTAAGGTATATAAAATTATGTTCTGCATTTAAAAATGTCCCAAAGTCACATTTTCTGTGTCTGCATATCCCGTAGTGCAACTTATTTTTGCCTATTTACATCCACTGAAGGACAAAACACCTGACAAATTTAAGTACCTGATGTTGTTATTTGCCTTTGAAATGTGCATTAGGAAAAAATGGTGGTCCAAGTGACTAGCAAGCCATTTAGTACCATACAAATAAATTAGGCATGGCATAAGGCACCGCATCGAAGTGCAGGAATGAGTCAAGCAATAATTCATGAGTGGGATATTAAAAAAAAAATTGTGAAGAAAAAAAAATTCTTTGTATAAGGACATTCTGTATCTTACCTGTAGAAGTAAAGCTGATCAAATTTTAAAAAACTGTTTGGTTCCAAGTATAAAACATTCTACAAGTCATCACATATCAAGTCCAACATAATTGTAATCACACACTAAAAAAATTGCCAAATATTTATCAGTTCTATTTCCCAAACAATCTTGTCCATAGTAGATGAAATAGATGATTGTACCGTACAGTTATGAAGTTCAAGTTGAATACAAGTCACACAGGTTATTGTGATTGAAATAAGAATCAGAAATCTTGAGTAGGCATAATACTCATATTATATAAATTTTCTAAGTTTATCAGTAAAAGTCATATAAATATGATAGTGTGAGTCCTTTAAAATTATGTTACTGCAAGTCCTGAAAATTTGTTAGTACCAGTCCTGTAAATTTGTTATAATTCTAAGTCTCAAATAAATATAATGCTCAAATTGTGTGAAGTACTGAAAATTTGCCTGTACATGGGTCCTATACTGTGAGGGACTTGTTGACACAAGTAATTAACCAACTACAGCTGACATGAAGAGCCTTATCTTGTATCTGGGCAGTCAGTGAATTAGAAGATAAACTGCCATTTGATGACAGATTGGTTTCAGCGCACAATGTTAAGTGGGTATGATACAATGAATAACCCAGGAGAAAGACTGAACCAACGGGAATAAGAGGCAAGATTTACTGGTCAAAGATATTTTAGATTTCAAACCATAATTAGGTTGGACGTGATGAACAACAGGCAGCCACTATGGGTTCTTCAAAAGAGGAGTCCTACATTTTTTATTAGAATTTTTGACATTTTAACTCTGCTGCTCATTAGGACAAAATAATGTATATGACAAATTCGATGTTTCCTTGGATACAGGGTGGAGATCACAGAGAACGAAGGAGTTTGGACTCCGTGGAGAGTATTCTGGCCACAGAGAGAGCCAAATGGTCCCGCGAGAAGAGCTCCCTACAGATGGCGCTGCGTGCTGCAGAGAAGGATTTGATACGCAGCAAGTCGGAGGTGAACCAGCTCCAGTTCAGACTGGACAGACTGCAGAGTGGACCAGCTGAAGATGGTGCCACTGATCCTGATGTCAGGGAAAAGGTACAGGCTGTTGAGGAGAATGGTTTTAATGTAGATATGACAAGCAAAGCATGGCATTTATTTCTGTACCTTTCCGTCTCTCTCTCTCTTTCTCTCTCTCTCTGAAGAAGTTAATCCTTAAATTTGACTAGTAAGCTACTATGGGACTTCATTTAATGTCCCTTTGTTTGACAAAACAATATAGTGAATTATAGAGCTGATTTAATGACATTGGTGAGCAGAATTATAGAGACCCAACAAGAAAAATAAAAATATTTGTTTAACAAATTGGACTGAAGTAAAAATATGTAGTTCTTACAGACAAGCAAGATTAAATTCTCCAGAATGAAGATGAGATATTGTATCAAACTTTCAGATGCAGCGTCTGTATGGGAAATACCTAAGAGCCGAGAGTTTCAGGAAAGCTCTGGTCTACCAGAAGAAGTATCTGCTGCTGTTGGTGGGTGGGTTCAGAGACTGTGAGGAGGAGACGCTGGCCACAATAGCCAGGATGGGCGGTCATCCTCCTGCCCAGACCACAACGCTGACCCGCTCCCGTCACGGACGAGCCTTGACCAAGTTCAGGAGTGCGGTCAGGCTGGTTATAGCCGTCTGCAGGTATGGTAGTAATTCTTAGATTTTGATCACCTGATTTAGATAATTTATTTTTCTTTTTTAATTTTTTTAAAATTGCATGTGCACGAGTAGTTTTCAGGTATCCTCATTATTGACATATTTAAAACACTATATTTACTTGATATATTTTGCTGAAGTTGTACATTGTCCTAGCAGTCAATCAGTATGGTAATAACTCAAGTCTTGACATCTTCATTAGCTTGATTTTCTGTTATTTTTGTACTTGTGTATTCCTTCCAGTTGCATTTTCTTTTCATAATAAAAACTCATATCTAACCTATATATTATTTTTTTCATATCGTCTATACTCAAATGTTTTCATGTTTCAGATGAGTTATTTAAGACATGCTCTTTTCATTTTGCAGATGGAAATTTTTGCTATATAAACATTTTGTGTTGCAGGTTAAAATTTTTAGTCAGAAAATGGAAGCGAGCTACAAAGGTGGGCTCTCCAGTGGTGACAGGAACTATTCCTAATGGTAAGTGAGAAATAATGGTTGAAATTTCAGAGTAAAGGTGGGTTCACAACTGAACTTAATTTAAGCCTCAAATGATTCAGATGATGATTTATAACTTCTGTTTACACACATTTTAATGCTGAAATATAATCACTCGCATTTATATTGTGGATATATAGTTAAATAAATATATAGATTGAAACCTACAGTTCATTTAATTAATTGATATAATTCAGTATTGATAATAGCCATTAATCTTATTCTGCAGGTAGAGGATATATGCCGACAGCAAACAGCTACACCCCACCCCCTGACTACAGCCCACCCACCTCAAGGTCACACCAAGGTCACAGCCCACCCACCTCAAGGTCGCATCCAGGGTACACTCAGCCCACCTCCAGGCTGTACACAGGGACCACCCCACCCACCAAGGACTCTAGTCTCAGTCGGTTTTCTCCCGTGTCAGAATTGATGACGAGTCCTGGCAGTGCAGGGCCACGCAGGTAAGACTAAGAAATTAGACTTGTGATTCCTAAAAATTGACAATGATACTCTAGGACTGACATTTGATACTCTGATATTAAAAGAAATAAAGATATAAACACTGATTTTGTAATTCTTGTATTGACATAGTTTTTTGATACTCTGGTACTAACTTGATATATTCTGATGAAAATATTTTAAACAGCTTTTAGAAAAGAATGGCATCACTGTGCCGCAGCCCTTTTTCCCAATAGAGAAGACAGGGATAAGTGCAAAAGCCATTTTCATCCTCTCCAATCCCTAGATGATGCTATTATTTGCATTATTTTTCCACCAAGTTTTTATTTATTTGATATTGATGTTATTTTCCAGGCAAATCCTGACAGCCCTGGACCCCCCACTGGAGCCCTCCCCCCCTCCCCCACCCACAGCCGAGGCCACGCCCACCTCCTCCCTGCCAGATGACCTGTCCCTCCATGATGACTATATCCAGAGACTGGAGAACTTACAACACAGGCTGGCGCGAGGTGAGGACGCCTTTTATATCGATGGTTTTTATTACTTGTTTAGGATTTAGAACATTGTATTAATATTGAGGCCACATTCAGAGCAGTAGCTAGTCCGGGGATCAAATGTGGCGACGCCCACTACAAAGCTTGCCATCTAACCCACTAATAGACACTGAATATATTGGACCCTTGGACTAGTGAGTGCTCTGTTCTGAATGTAATAGTCTCTCTGCCTCTCACACGCCTCCCAGTTGAATGGAAGCAAGATTCAGTTACTGTGCCCCTGCAGAGACGATGTGTGGGGAGGCGTATGAGAGGCGAAGAGACCATTACAGGATTAAGCGGTCTTCCTTTCATGTGGGGTCTGCCATATTTGATCTTTGGATCGGTTGATACTTGGATCTTCTATCCTGAATGGCCCCTTATAGATATATAATTAAATGTAAAATATGTGCTGTTGGGTTTATGTGCTATGAATGACAAATAATTGGAATCCTTTCTGTTTTTGTTTACTTCAGGAACTCAGGGATACAGAAGTTGGAACACATTCCAGAGGAGGTAACACATCACCCTCAGTGATGGACTAGAACCAAATGATTCCAGCAAGAGAAATTCACTGGCAGAACCAGGGATTTTTATTAAAGGAGAGGAGCAGGAGACAGTGACATGGGTTAGATTATTTCTGCCATACCTCAGACCTATCTATAGGCAAAAAAAAAGAAAATTGGGAGATATCTTCCACCTTGGACTCTATTTGAAAACTGATACTCGGGCTTTACAAGTTCCATTGTCTCCAATAGTTTATATGGAACAGAGAAAGAGACAAAAGCTATTTTTAAAGAATCTGATTTCATGTTTTCTTTCAAAGCAGCTGAGGAATATATTTTCTCATTTTGTGAAATATTTAAAACAGACTTTATTCCAATATTGGTGCTTGTCATATTTATTGTACATTATAAAGATGTCTTTGTATTTATTTATATATGAGCGGTCATTTTAGAAGGGCAAAGGAAAAATGATCTTGTGGAATGGAAGAAAGTAAGCAATCGATAATTATCATTTTATCATTCAAGCAGATAGCTTATAACATCATAAAATTGAACTTACATAGGAAGATGATACGGAGGTAAGTAAAAACTATCTTCAGGATTTTTTTGAAGACAGAACTTTAGTGACATTTAAGCTGATGTTACACTGAAAACTAGTGAATTGATTTAGGAAATCTATGTAGAATTATCCGTGATACAGATATAGACAACAGACTGGTAGAGTACGCAGCAAGTGGTACAACAAAGTTGAATGCAATTGTATATAGCAAAGTCTTAGGTTTAGGTTATTATTGCTGCAGCCATTAACTGTTCTGCAATGCATGTTAAACATGTATTGTCATTACTGTATTAAAGAGTGTGAATTACTAGACTAACTGAAGTCCATTCAGCAGATTTTTTGTTATTAGCCAAATAATAAGCTTTGCCAAATCTGTAAAAGATGTGAAATTCGGCAATAAATTTATAGATGCTAATGTAAACCTAGGGTAAGCCAGGGCTTCTAAGTGCTGAAGTATTAGTACTGTAGCAAAGAGGACATGTAGAGGGACATTCTCGGTGTTGTAAATTATCGATAGAACATTACATTACAGTGTATTAAGTTTACTTGTATAAAGTGAAAACGGCAGCTTGAATTACCCTTTTCATTCCCATTTTGTTGGTATGAGTGGAACTGTAGATTTGTTATCTTTGAGGACCCAATATGTGCAACATGGATAATTGCCAGAGCTTTGTATTAAGTTTTAGATTATTATAACAGCCTAAAATGCTTTAAGATTGGGTTTTGAAATAAATTCTGATTGGAGTTTCAACATAGCAAATACCAGGTTCCATGCAAAGTTCCAGCTAGAGTTCATCCTCTGCCACATACCAGTCAATACGATTGTTTAATCTCAGCTTCATCTGTGTCATATAGAAATTGAAAGTAAGCAATTTTTGTTTGACATCATCATACATAGCTGTACCTTGTAGGTTTTGAGCATAGATCTCGTAAACGGGCTTTTTTTTTTTTGTTTCAGAACAGCTGAGCCTGTAGTGTCTATGCATACAGCAAGCTTATTGTGGTCAGAAAAGCCATTCCTTGTGAGAATTTATTATATTAATTTTTATATTCGTTCTTGAAATATATTTAATATACCGTCTCACAATTTTCTTGAGTCCATCCATTGAGCTTTTCTATATATTGTGATGCACAATCAGTCTGTGATTTTGCTGTAGATGTGCAGATGTTTTTATCATTCTTTTTGTGTCTCCTATAAATGCAGCAAGAGTTCATTTCATTGTTGAATTGAAAATAAAATTGCCATTACTGTCAACTGTTTAATATTGTTATAGCCATCAGTTGTTGAATGATATAGTATGTGAAGCACATTTTTTCCATATTACTGTGAGTGCTTCAAATATTGGGCGTGCCACATAACTTCTTGGGAATTTAAGCAGCTCAGGCAATATAAGATGCATGCAAGAGAAATTGTTATGAAGGGGTTTTAGGTAATATGCACATACTAAATTCCTTGCAAAATGGAAAGTGCCAGTGCGATTTAAATTATCATTCAATGCAAACTGCTGTTCCTATTCTGATAAGGTGGCAATATAAAGTAGAACATGGTAAATTACATATATAGCTTTTTAATTTTTAAGTCATGTTAGCTTACTTAGAAAGAGTCCTCATTTCTGTTCCTAATCAGTGTTAGCTTACCAAGTCTTCTCAAGAAAACTCCCACCATTCGATTTAAGAGTTTGTAAATTATTGTATTGTTTATGTACTTTGAATATAGTTGATGCATTGTTTACTGCTTTGAGATGCCGTTTTAAGGAACATATAAATGTAAAATTGCAAAGTGCTATTCAGAATGAATAAATTTAAGTTGTCAATACAATTTATAGGCATTAGGTAGTTTTAAGAATCGTGTTGCTTACAGCTCCAAAGGGGTTCCAAAATTTGAAGTTTAAAAATTATTTTCATGTACTGATGCAGTTTATGAGCTGCCACTTATAATCTACTTATCAATTTTTCTTACCTTTGATGAAAAGAAAACAGTCTCTTTCAGGCACTTTTAATTTAAACTTTTATTTCTCCTCCCCCAAGTCTGTCTTGTAAAAGCAACTGATAAAACACACCATGGTACATAATATTTGTTGCTTTAAAATATTTTTCACTGTAATGCACAATACTGGTTTTTTAAATAAATAAATACTAATAAACAAAAAAAACTTGTCTGAAATAAAAAAAAAAATACATCTTGAATGTGTTCACATGATGACATACTACAATAATTCAGTTGTACAAGTCTTTTCACATCTCCATAAGTTTTAATATCCATAGCTGCATGCACAGCAAAACTGCATCCAATCACACCAAGCCGCTAACATACCTAGACTTAATAATAAGAGCACTGGAATTAACACAGCTGGTGGTTCAAATATTTGCCATTGCACTTTTCAAATTGAGATTAGTGTTCCATCTAAATCACTGGTGGGGAAAATATTGCACATGCACTGTAATTGACCTGAAAGTTTTTCATGAATTTCAATTTGGTATCCAATTCCTATCTTAATATACAAATGATATGAAGGATTATGCAAGTAAGATTCTCACTGATATTTTGAATATGTGAATAGTTGATATAACATTAATGGTATATGATTTACAGATAAATCGATTTCCCCTCTAATAACATGACTTGGTAAACCCTGTCGAATTGATATTATGTTGTAATTTTCAGTTTTTTGAGCACTAATTTTGTTTCTGTGATGAAACAACCAATTTGAAAATCAATTAAATATTCCTCCCTTCTGGGCAAATCAGTTTTGTTTTTGTGATAAACCAACCAAAATTAATTAAATATTCCTCTCTTCTGGGTAAATCTTATGGTTATACACTGAGAGTTAATTAATAAATTGAGAGTTAATAAATAAATGATAAGGTTTGATTTCAATTGCAAAGAGAAATTATCTTTAGTTGTATGTTTTATTTTTGCGTGGCTGTCTCCCTGTGTTGTCGCAGACACTTAGTGGTACAAAACTTGTAGTCAAAGTATTCAAAGGGCACCTTTCCTGTCAGATCTCCTCCACACTGCCAACACCGACTGGAAAATTTAAAAGTAAATAATAATGAGTAAAATATAATTAAAAAATAATTTAAAATCTTGTCTACATATTCCTAACAGCAAATTTTGATTAACTATAGTGGAAACCACACATAAAAGATTTCCTACAACTACATCTTTATTATTCAGAATACATTTCTTTTAAATTCACGTTGCTGATTTAAAGCATGGAATAATTTTTGCATTCCTGTGATTCAATTCCCCAAAACCCCATCGACCCTGCCATTCACTCTTGTAGCCCCCGTAGTAAAGTCAGAAGCCCATCAGTGCTTTGTGTTTGTTGTGCAAACTGGTGTGTTTGTATCTGTTACCTTAGCACCGGTCTTTCACCACTGGTGTCCTGCACCTGCTGTACAAACCTCCTTTCTGCTGCCAGAGCTCTCTGTGGAACAGAAATAGAGTTATTATAAATTATTATTAATATAAATTATTATCATAATTATTCTCAACTATCATAAACCACTTATTGCAACATTCATTTTTTTTTCCAAAATGTGTTTTTTACAGTCTCACAAAAACATACTTCTATATGTGAACTCATACACCTTTTCAGAACTTTTAATTCAACTTTTTAGGAATAAATGAGAAATCTAAACAGTGATTTGGGAAATATAATTAATCTACTATGTCTATATTCAATGGCTAAAAACAAATACTTCCATCATAAAGTTGGGTTCAGAGGTGTTCCAAGTTTAAATGAAAATAGTCCAACAGATTATTTTTATTTTTTTATGTTCCGTCTTGCTCCCTATTTTAAGTACAGCTTTATAAAGTAACATTTTAGACTTGAATTTTTCTTTTTTTTTTAAATAAAATCTTGTCTCACCTTTTCTCTGTCACTTAACTGTAGAAATCTCTTCTTCTCTGCCTCTTCAGCCTGTTGCTGTGCCTGTGCTGCTTTCACATCCTTAAATACCAAATTACTATCATTGTTATCATTTAAAATATTTTATAATTTATTTTTATTAGATTGGTTCAAGAAGTGGGGGTGAAAGAAAATTTCAATATTTTTAACTTTCCATGATAATTGTGAATATTAGTTTTAATTTCCTCTTTCATTTTTTCTAGACGTTTTGTCCAAAACTTAAGTTCGTCCAAAACTTAACTCTTAAGTGGGTGTACCAAAAATACCTTTAATCTTTCTCTCTTTGCTTTCTTCTGTGCTTTCCTTCTCTCTGCTTCTCTTGCTTTCTTCTCTGCCTCCATCTCACTAGTAAGGGGTCCTGGGATCTACAGCAGGGGACAAGAAACACTCAAATTTATTTACTTCTAGGTTTTTTTGGCTAGTACAATCAAATGTTACATGTATACATATCTTTGATTTATGTACAAGGAACAATATAACAATATATGTGCCACTGTCCTCCCCAAATTGAGTTTATATATAAACTTACATTAATATTACATAATAAAGACACATATTATCTAAGAATATGCCACAAGACAGGATATTTAACTATTTGCTTTTACATTATTATATGACTGAGAATACACCAAAAATTCTTCAAATAACTGAAAAAGTTGAGTCAGACAAGGGACCTTTAATCTTCCTCTTACCTGTGCTGCTGCATAGTCATATTTTTCAGGAAATTTGGCCAAAAATCTTCTGAACTCATTTCTTACTTCTTTCTGTGAGGACACATTGTATGGCAGTTGTCCCTTGCTATTTCTGGAAATATGTAATTTAATATAATAGTGAATTTATGGGAAAATTTATCCCAGTAACATTATTCCAGGTACTGCATTGAGAACTAGTCTCAATATACCAACAGCATTGTTGTTTTTTTTTTCATTCATCAAAGCACCTTAATTCAAATACTCTTTCAAGTTATTACTTTTGGTCAACCCCTCTCAGCTCAACCCATCTCACCTAATTATGCTTAGTTCACTATTGGCAAAAAAAATGGAATCCCTATGTTGCCACACCCTTCAATGAAATTAACTTAAGACTACAGCTAACAGAATTATGGTGAGTTTGTTATAATCATATGGACAGACAAGTTAGTATGGGCTACAATAAGTTGGAAATGGACTTTTACTGGTCACAGTGTCCTTCCTGCTTACTTTACAGAAGGGTCAGCTCCAGCCTCCAGCAGTAGAGATATCACAGCGCAATGACCACTCCTGGCTGCTAAGTGGAGGAACGTCTCCTGCTGGGCACCCACTAATGTGTTCAGCACTGACGCAAGTGTCCCGTCAGAGGTTTTTATTTCTTCTCCCACAATACGATCTTGTAAAGGTATTTCCTTCTTGGCACTGTTGCTAGGATTTTCCTTGGTTAAAGAAGGCTGTAATTCTTTTGCTTCTACTTCTGCTTCCCCCTCAACAGGACATTCTGTTGAGGATGTTCCCATGGTGATGACCTTCCCAAAATCCTCCTGGGTTAAAGATGGCTGCCCTGCTTCTAATTGTGAAAAAATGCCAGGCAGCTTTTCACTGTCCCCCATCTTGCATGCAGTGTACAGAGTGTCCTTTATATTGCAGAATGGATCAACTTTCAAAAAGAAACAAAGAACGTCAATGAAAGCTTTGTGGAATCAACGGTTCCCAATATCAGTCCAAACAACATAAGATAAAATAGAACTTAAAACATACCAATAAATTGCCAATTCAGACAAAATACAAGACTTTCTTCAACTCCATTTTATTCTTACTAATACTGGAATTATGATTTTGGCTTAATTATGTTAACTCTTCTGTTTTAATTACATAGTAGTACCTCTCAAAACATACCACTACTGTAACAGATGGAACACTAAGATTTAATGCTAAATGTGAAAAGGCCATTTTAAATGCTCTGTGTTAAGTGTTTGTCAGTTCAAGTCTATACACACCTTGTGCATGTGGGGAAGATTTCACTGCCTCCTCATTCTTCTCTTTCCTCTTCTTTGCCCTCCTAGGTTTTCTAGTTGCTTGAAACTCTTTCAGATCTCCAGTGGTGAGTGTCTCTTCTACTAGACTCATTTCTACTAGACTCATAGGTCCTGTAGAAGACACAGGTATCATATCTCTGTTATCTGTGTTTTTACATCTATAGCAATTTAACATGCACAAAGCAAATGTATAATTTAATACTGAGTCAAAATCTTTCAGGTTTGAAATGGGCGCTGGTGCAACTTGAAATATTTTAAAGTAATAAAGATTAAGAATTCATAAAAACCTGTGTGTGTGTGTGTGTGTGTGGGTGTGCGTGTGCATATTACTGTTCACATGTACAGATAAACATGTGCATGTACTTGTATGCATGGGACGATTTTAAAATGTCACATACCTTCATCCTCAGAAGACGATGACACCAGATCTTCATCAGGGTCTCTCTGCCTCTGTTTCTGCTTCCTCTGCTTCCCTTCTCTGTTCTTCTTCAATGGTGAGCTTCCAGCAGACCTTGGTAACTCTGAGCTATCAGCATTGGGTGTGGTCTCCTCTTTGCTTTCATTTAGTGATTTAGCTTGTGGCTTCTGGGGAACATATTGGAGTATGTCTTCTACTTGTCCTGACAGAGACAACACATATCATAAATTAAATTTTTTCAGCTGCATTTCAATATGCTTCTACTTCAAAGATAAAGTCCATCAGAAGAAACAACATTTACATTAATCTAAAAGGGTATATTACAGATTTTTTGGGGGCAACAGTATCTACTCACATTTTTCAAGTGTTTCTAAATCAGTGGATCGTTTTTAATTTTTTTTTTAATTAAGCATTTAAACTATTCACAGAAACACATTTAACAACATGAGCCCAATTTTCCTGGCAGCTATTTATAATCATACCCATCTTTGGGTATTTCTGAAAAAATGAAACATTATTCATTAGAAATATAAATAAATTTTACTTAAATTCTAGTCAATCAGAGTACTTACCATAAGAAGTAATACAAGCCAGCAGGTGATATACCCGCTGAAGTTCTTTAAATGTCGGCCTTCTCGTCGCAAAGGGAATAAAGCTGATCCTGGGATCATTTCTCCTAAACGGAGCAGACTTTCCTCCAAAGAAAATCATTCTATTATTACCAGGGGCCCGTAAAAATATCTTGCTGCACTCTTTCAACTGGTTATCCCATGTTGCAATCAGTGACTGGATGTCCTGGGTGAGGGCAGCTATGTTGTACCGCCTGAGCGTGGCACCGGCTGACTTGGGTGCGTTACCTTGTGCGTCTCGTGCATCCTGGGCTGTGCCACGTTTGGCGCGGACAGTGTAGCGATGGAAGGTTTTGTGAGCTACCACTTTGCCTCTGCAATAAGAGTGTTTTTATTATTAACATCTGCTTGATATGTGTACATGTGTGCTTGTGCACCGGCATGTATTGGTGAATATGCACACGCAAGAACAGTTAATCTAAGAGTCAGAAAACCATTTTTAGAAATCTGGATAATACATTTCCAGAACAGGTGCTAAACATAAAGACACATATAGTCTCTAAAGACCTGTTCCCAATGAAAATTCCTGTGTCAAAGCACCTGTGTTGTAAATGTATTATCACCCCCAAGGAAGCGTGTCATTCAGATAAATTTATTGCAGAGTTGGATCAATCTACATAGAGCAAAAGTTTTAATGGGAATCTGCCCTTACTCGTTGAAAATGGCCCCAGCAAAGTGGCCGCCCCCTATCATAAACATTGCCCACATCTTCTGATCTCTCAGTTTTAGTGCAGCAGGAACGTACTCTGAGCTGCTGGCCACTGGAGCCTGAAACACCATGAATATGAATATATTTTAGTCAAATTTGAAGTGGAAATTAAGGTGAATCTTAAGATTTAAATTGACAAATATTCTAGCTGTTTGCTTAAGTAAGATATTGGTTGCAATTTTGGTTCCAATTAAAAATGTTCCGACTAGATTGGGCTATCATGATTCTCTCCTGCAAAAATTAAATAAAAATATATATGAATAAACAAAAAATCCAACTATTCTTTTTAATTTTTTCCCCCTTGATCTGAGATTTTCTATTCCAAGTATGAAAATGACTTCAGTCCTACCTGCTTTCCATGAAGCACACATCTGTACAAAGACAGCAGCTCCTGATTAGCATTCTGGAAGAAAACCTTTGGATGTCTCCTGTCTTGAATATCATCCTCTGTTTCAGCTACAGACTCTTCAGATTTTGGAGGCAGAGATATGGAGATATCCTCATCTGAGGAGTCGCCACTTGAAGCAGATAAGCTGGAAATGTCTCCTATTGGTTCAGTGAAAGAAAATACATTTAATTACACAGAGAAGGTGTGACCTTTCATATTAGCCCGTAATATATTTGATTTATCATCAGAATTTATTTACAAGTTCAAAGAAAGTTCTCTGAATCAGAAAAAAGTGATATTCTGAGTAATTTTTACACTTTCTGTCTATGAAAACTCTAACATGATGCCTTTGATCAACTTCCAATCATGCTAGTAATCAACTCAGACTTTATGTATGAGCGAAAGAAAATTTCCAAGCACAGGTATATAAATCTAAGCAGACTAAACACCATAGACCAAACAAATAACTAAAAAGAATGGCTTTATTTTTTTGTGAAATAAATATATGAAACCAATTCCTACCAGTTATTTCCTCAAAGGTGTCCTCTGTAATAGCAGGCAAATCTTTCAATCTCTGTTTTAAGTTAAACCTATGCCAGTCACTTTTGTAGTGTTCTTTCTGTAGTAAGGTAAAAAATACGTACTAGTAAATACATAACAGAAAAGAGCAAGAAATATGATCTTATATGTTGCTCCAAAACAAAATATCTCCATTTTTATCAATAGCAATGTGTCACACAGGCACTATCATTAAGTTATACCTGTTCAGATCTCCCTGCAAATGTGACCGAGCACATGGAACACTGCATTTTCTCAGAGACTGTGAAAACATTGTCAGCGTTTATGTCTGCATCATCTGGAATCCATAAATGGATATTCATGATAATTAAAAATCAGTACAGCCAAATATGTTATACTATTTCAAGGAAAATTTTTTTTCCTTTAAGGATATAACTGAAAGATGTTGTTAAAAGCTGAGTTTCAAATATATTCAAGTCAATTGATTACAAGGGTGTCTGTATCCCACTCTCTGGTTCCATCCTTTAGTGTACTTCTGTTATTTTCAGTGGGATTGCTAATAACAGGTAGGTTTTGAAACATCTCTTGCCTTGTTTCAACTCCCCTTTATTCTTTCAAGATACTAGTATTTAGGTACTTCAGCATGTTAATAATAGTATATATACCATGCTATGCCCCATATTCAAATGTGAAAATTTTCATCTTTATGTACCCATTCTTCCCCTTTGTGAAATACAAGTCAATGATGTATTTCTTCACCAATCATTGATATTAGAAAAGGATTTTCAGCGTGTTGTGCAACACATACCTTGTGTAGGGTCCTCCTTTTCTTGTAAGTAGAATTCACCCTGTGTTCCAGCCAATCTAAGTCCTTCCAGCAGGACTTCAATCTTGGTCTGGTCCCACAGGTTAACACCGCAAGGCACTCCAGCTTCCTGAAGTGTACAATAAAATATATTTAATGAAAAAAAAATGTTATGTAATAACAATTGTAATACAAGGCTGGAGGCCTATATTTACAGAATAAACAACTATTCTTAAGAATAAAATATTTAATACTGTTCTGATTTATATCAGATTCATTAAAGCCAAAAGCTATATTTATATAATGTTTTATATATTGAAAATGCGCATGCACATGTGTTCGGTAAATGTTCAAGCATCATGAACTAGAATATGCATCATAGGGCAATATCACCCAATTCTTTTTGTATGACCATTCCTGTGTTTACTTGCGACAGGACACGTCTTTTTAGTGTATTTGGACTGTGTTGCACTGAATTGCACATTTTAGGATGGCCCATACTATACGCAAGACATATTTTTTCATTAATAAATAAATTATTTCCAATTTCTAGCCATTTTCAGTGAATTCCCCGATCATATTTTAAACTTGCTTATAACCCTTCAATATAAATGTATTTATACAATACATAATATCGACAACTTAACTATTAAAATTGAGCCCGTCTCGAATCCCAGCTTCCAAGTCAAATATCTGAACCACATTTACCTGTATTGCAACGTGTTTCCCAAAAAGGTTTTTCATGGTGAAGTTGTACGGTTACACATAAAATAATCGAAATAATCTAGCATCTGCGTAGCATGCAATCTTGTTATATACCTTATCGCAAATTAAGTGTTGCACCACATCCTTGAAACACAGTGAGTCACATCAGCGTTAACGTTAATCTTTACAAGACGGTCAACATTAAAGAACATATTTTGCTTAAATATAGGACTTTCTAAGGATTGGTATCTTTCGTGAAAAACAATAAAGTTATCTATATGAATATACAAAAGCCTTTGCTGGAAAATAAATGCCAGCAATTAAACCACTTACCATCGTCAGGGCGCATCCATGACAAGTGCCAGGATGTAAAGTCGACTGCAAGTGAAAGGTTGGAACTGTTGAAGAGAGAATATGTTGATGAATATCGATAATGTTGATTTGAAACAAACCAGATTTATATAAATATTACATTTTTAATTGCACATGGTTAATTTAAAGATCTTCTCTCGATCAAATAAAACATATGAGTAACCAGACACTGTCCCATTTCGGTCTACGATCTCAAACACGCGATTATTCACATCAGCTGATGTCGTTCGATGAGAATCAACAAATCACCGGTGGCGATCAGAAAATGTAAACAAAGAAATGACCGGGGTGTTTAAAAACCTGCTAAGACGGGGCCTCTTCCAGGGAAGGTTCCAGACAGCAAGGTGATTTGTTAAAAAGTGTTGTTTTATTTTTCAATTTAAGTTTCTAAATTTAGCTAGCTAGTAATGTGAGTTTAATTTGCTTTTAAAATCGTCCTGTTGCAGACAGAAAGTGATTTGGGATGTTCCAACAATTTAAATGGGTTTTTAACAATGATAATATTTCTTTCAGCATAATTTAACTGAAACATTGGACTTAACTCACACTGTACTAGTAGAATTAAATATTAATACAAAAAAGAATGGACATCTGTAAAACCATACTCCTCATGTAATATTTTCTCCACCTCTTTTCTAAGGTCTTTTTGTTATCTGGTATTTCAGCATGTCACAAATAACAGCAGGTCTAGACGCCACCCAAGTACAGCTCCTCCAGGAGGAGTGTATCCTCATAGATGACAATGACAAAAATATAGGTACTGCCAGCAAGAAAGACTGCCATCTACTAGAAAACATTAATAAAGGTGAGGGAAATCTGGGATTTGTATTAGTTTCAGATTATTTGAGAAGCATTGGTAAGGGCTTAAACTGAGGTAAAATTCTTTACAGTTTGTAAATTGATAGCAGTATAGGCTTGAAATCCTGCAATATAAGCCAACAAGAAAGGGTACAATAGCAATCTGAAAATATAAATTTAAGTGAATTGAATCAAAGATTATTATAAATACTTATAATTGGTGATAATATGACAGTTCTTACAAATACAAAAAAAAAGTCATTCACTTGGAATATTACAAGTGAAGAATTAACATTTATACAGCATGCTATGGATTGCAATGTCTCATACAGTATATTGTATTAGAGTTTTTAACAGAAAAATTTTAATTTACACTAGGCATGCTACACAGGGCTTTCAGTGTATTCTTGTTCAACAGCAGTGGGCAACTTCTCTTACAGCAGAGGTCTGATGAGAAAATCACATTCCCAAGTAAGTTAACATGTAAACATAAATTGGAATATATAAAGTAATGTTGCATGCAAAAAATCATGCATATCTAGTTGGGCGAAATACTAGTTAATGTGAAAAAATGAAATGCTTTCTTTTGGTTTGGTTTTTAAGTTATGCTGTATGCATGACTTGTAGAAAAAGTACCGAGATGGGATTTTTCTGACTAATGGCAGATTTATTACATTTGGGTGATGTTGGTACTTACAACATACAGTACTGAGATTTTTCTGACTATAATCTCATCCTTGTTTGCGTCAGTGAATCAACTCATATAATGGCAATTAAATTAGCAACATTTTCCCCAAGCTGTTGAAAGAAAGCTCTCATGTTTAAGACCACATTCCCAGAGATTAGATCGATCCAACTAGATCGACCTAACTCCTTGGGGGTTCACGCTAAATAGCTGTCATCCGAGCGGGCACGAAAGTTAATTACCCCTTACAGCTTGTAGTAGGCGGGACGGACATTTAAGCCTGATTATCTGACAGTAATCTAGTGAGACTCCCCACAGGGATAGATTGATCTAAAAGCTATGGGAATGCGCCCTAAGAGAAATGCAATCATTTCAGGTCATTTCACAAACAGCTGCTGCAGCCACCCTCTGAACATTCCTGGTGAGACAGACGAGACCAGGGCATTAGGAGTAAAGAGGGCAGCACAGAGGAAGCTACAGCACGAGCTGGGCATACCACCACATCAGGTAAGATGTGGCTGAGAAATAATTGAAGTATTGCAGGCTTGTTGGCAGATGGTTTATATGGATTCAATAGAAAATTACCTTTTTGTCTGCTCTGAATCAAAATTTGAGGTTCAGTGCCATTTCTGAAGTTGGTTCCCCTCCTCCTTCAGGGGTCTGTTGTGTTCACATCTGCACCTCTTATTACAAACTGAAATAAAACTGAACTGAATTGAACTAGATGACATCATTGGATGAGCAGGTCACATTGAGAACCATTCTTGTACTAGTAATATGTTTCAGGTTCCAGTGGAGGAGTTTCAGTATTTGACCCGTATTCATTACCAATCTGGAAATGTACCAAAAGATGGCAAGTGGGGAGAACATGAAATAGACTACATCCTTTTTATCCAGGCTGACGTAGATGTGGAACCCAATCAAAATGAAGTGAAAAGTTACAGATATGTGAATAAAGAACAGTTGAAAAGCTTTTTAGGTAAGTGTTAGGTCCATTTGTTAAATGGTGATTATGCAGTGACTTCATTCCAAGAAATGAATTTTTTTGAGTTCATCAGTACATTATGCTAGTTGAATCTAAAATATATTAATTAAAGATTTTCTTTTTTGAGACAATTTCAGAAAGTATTATATCAGTGCATTGGTAACTGAAACTTGGTATTGTTTGAAAGTTATGATAATTATAGTTGATGTGCTGAGCAACTCAGAGCATCAGAATTTCCCTTGTTCACCAAATAACTGTCCACGTCTAACATCTTTTAATCCTTTATCTTCAAGCTGGTGCTGAGAAAGAGGGGCACCTCATTACACCATGGTTCAAACTGATTGTGGACAACTTTTTGTACAAGTGGTGGGACAACCTTACAGACCTCAGCATCTTCAAAGACCACAGCCATATTCACAGAATGATCTGAGAAAATATTGGCATTTATTAAGGTCTTTCACACAATAATTGGGATACTTGGAGCACAAAGAAAGAACAGAAACCGGTGCATTGTCATTAGTGCAGTATCCTTTATCGGAATTGGGTCTATCTAGCCATATTCAGAGAGTAATTTTAATTCATTGGCTGACTCAGGACCAAGAAGTGGTTCATAGCTGTTACCACTGACCTCCTGAATTAAGAATGTGATACAAATAATGAGGAGATGATTTATTTAGTAAATGATGAATATCGCATGATTCGTGAAATATGCAGAGTCACAGTTTTTAAACAGTTTCTTACTTGCAGTTAGGTAGTTACAGGGATTTCTGGAAGGATTTCTGACATATTTGGGGAGCCAAAAATATCATTGGCCAAGGCTGACCCCTGGACACTGTGCCATGTTTTCTGACTTTTTCACTAAATGACAGTCTCATCCCTATAGTAGGATGACATTGTGTTGTATACTGAATATGCATTTTGCCTTGGATATATCTCCGCTGGGGTATAAAATATCTCTTTAATGATACAACAGCTACCCCCTACCAGGTCTTCACATTAGGGCTAATTGGACAGGAGAACCAGCAGACACCTCTAGACTTTTACCCTGACCTTTTAAATAAAAGATATAATGTAAATTGTTTTTATGCCATTTTATGATGGTTTGTTATGGATTATGATGAGAAAAAGAATCCCTCAGGAGATGCTCTTAGCAGAATCTATGTTAATAGATAAAACAAAGCTGTGTGCCCCAAGGAGTCTCAAGAATGGATTACTTTGTTTTTTCAGTCTTAGACCAAATTAAAATTACGCCAAATGCCTTAGACTGCATCACACAGATTTTAGATCGATCTATCCCCGTGGGGAGTCTCACTAGATTGCCGTCAGCTTAGCCAGCTTAAATGTCTGTCCCGCCTACTAAAAACTGTAAGGGGGTAATAAACTTCCGTGCACGCTCTGCTGACAGCAATTTAGCGTGAACCCCCTGGGAGTTAGGTTGATACAGATGGATTGATCTAAATCTATGGGAATGCAGTCTTATTTTTTTCTCAGAGTGAAGACTTGTATATAAATATGAAACATATTCTGTAAATCACTGCCAAAACCCTTTTACACAGATATTGCATAGTTGCCCGAGTTGAGCTGTTCTGGTTATGCCAAAAACTTCATCATTTTATGTAAAAGCAGGGGCAGATCTTCCAGAAGATGGTCAGATTTTTAAGTTTACATTGACGGGTATCTAATGTTTTCTGTCAGAAGACGGTCAAAACGGAGGATGGCCCAAGAAAGATAATTTGGAAGACTGTCAGAAAATATCTCTGGATCCACCCCTGCAAAAGGACTCGGGTCTGGATTACATCAAACAATATGTGTTGTATATACCTTTATTGACTGATTAAATCATGTTTGAAAATAAAGTATAACTATAACAAAATACAAAATTATACAGTTATATGTAAACAATTAGACAATGGAATGTTATGAATATTTATTTGCACTTCATTTAGAATTTATTTGAGCATTTTACCACATCCTAAGAATTCCCCTGCTCTTTTGGTACACAGAAAAAGCCACCTCCATTATAATGTAACATAACCATTATGATGTGATATATCTCTGATAGCATTTAATATTAATCACCTATAATTCAATATTGATCAATAAACATGGCAGCTTCCCATACCTCCATATGAAATCCCACAAAATAATAATTATGTCACTGAATGCCTTTCAAAGTTATATCACTATAAATTAATCATACGATTTTAGATGGCACTGAAGAAAATTCCTTTCTACAAGACCCCAAATGAAAGTCAATCTAAAAATAAATTACCATGACTACAGTGTTAATGTCTTTCTCCAAAAAAAATCTTCAGAGGAACTGTGATTTGATTCTTTTGTTTACTGGACAGCAAGCTCTTCAGTACACAAAGGAATTTAACATCTAGTCATCTAGCTGCAAAAGGCTTAGGGCGCATTCAGAAATAGTTGATCCGCAGACTAACTAGTCCGCAGATCAAATATGGCGCAATCCACTGAGAAGCATGGCGAGAATTAATTGCCCTGCTCCTGCTGGGACGGCACACATGGGAGGCTGGAATCCATTGTCAAGTGTGTGCCATATTTGATCTGCGGACTAGTTAGATCAACTTGGTTGTGAATGAGGCCCTAGTGTACTGCTAAGTAGGTGTGTCACCCCAGGTTGGGCAAGGTGTCTTTTCCCAGGTTTTTGGCATCTTGTATGGCTTTCCAGTAGAGTTTCTCTTCCACCCCCTCCCAATGGTTGCAGCTTATGGTATTCATGAATCTACAAAAGATAAATAAAAAAATTCATTCAAATATTTATTCATTAAATTCAGATAATAAATAGATAAAATTATAATAATGAGAAAGAGAGCAGAACAGTGATGAACAGTGAAGTTTTGCCAAATGTGAAACAATCCAATTGGGTTAACTTCACCGTGTAACATATTTCAACTTCAGTGTCAAATATTTAACTACTTTCAAGGAATTATACATCTATTTCCTTGCTGTTTTTCATCCAACCTGTCAATGATGTGGTTCAAAATTTTTATATAGTGAAAATATCTAACTATGCACTTCCCTAAAAAGATTGTTTTCTAAGAAAGAGTCAAAATACAGTAATAAATAAATAAAAAAAAATTTTGCCTGGTAAAAAATATGTTGTAGCTATTTCATTTCTGTTCTGATTTATAGCAGAAAGGAAGGTGGAGGGAGGGGTCCTTGTGTATAATTTAATTATCATTTTCATGAAACTGATATTTCCAAACACAAATTCTAAATGAAAAATTAAGTTTATTTATTAAGCCTTTGGCTTTGCAGATTAATTCAAACAGACTTTTGAATATTTGATGATGTGATTTATTTGGTCAAAGTTATTTTGGTTGTGTAGGACCAAAAAGATAAATGTAATATTTATATACACAAAAAGTGAGGTTACATGTATTATACTCAAATGTCTCTTACTGACCAGAAGCTTTTTGGATTTTCTTCCAGTACTTAGCCACCTCAACACCTTCCCAGTGTTTATTATTCAAAGGTTTCATAAACCTGAAATTAAATTATTACTGGTATGTACTAGCTTACAGTATAAACAAGGGGAGGATGGGCACTGGGCACATTCACATCCAGAACTAACTTAGGCCAAGAATTGCCATAATTACATCATCATTCAACTATTCTGCTTATTACAATAATTTGAGGTTGCGTAATGTTTGACGTCTGTCTTGTATTTCTCTATGTAATCTGGCTGACAGGTGGCATAATTTAGTCTTGATGTGAACACACCTCAACAGAGATGGAATGTTTCACAAAATAAATGGGTGAGACAACTTTAAAAGTTATGTAAAAAATTACAATTTAACTCAGATTTTAAAGGTTTTCTGGGAGATGAAGCTCACAGTAACTATACCAGTCTGATTCAAAAAGCCCTAAAACTGGTCTAAACTTTTGGACCAAAAATACTGAAGATAACCGCAGGTTTTATAAAGAAAAACTGAAATCAGTTTTTTGGCTTAGTTGACTAAGATTTCCATGAGAGTACTGCTACACTGCTCCTGATAGGGTAAGATGTGCCCATGTGACTATGTAACCATGGTAATTTAGTTCTTAGCCACGGAACCTGACATAAGTTTTTTGTAGAACCAAATTAAGTTGAACCCTCTCCTACCTCTCCATAACCTCCTCCATGACTTTCCTCTCCCCATCTGTCACTCCATTCCAATAAACTTCAAGGTTCTTCTGAAGGTTAACCAAACTAAAGGAAAAAAACATATTGGAGTGATTACCATCATACTACGAATGTTAGTAATTAATTATTGTTTAGATACACACCAATTAACAAACTGAGTATAGTTGCAATGTAACCATTTTATACAATGTATGCAGTGACTATGCATGAAATCATGACAAATATACAAAACATTAGAAGATCTATGCAACAATATTAAGACACATCGATGTATAATTTAAATAGGGATGTGGTTTAGCCATACACATTGTATACCAGTTTATGCCATGAACATTCTTGCCCACTGGTCAGTTAGACAACTGTGGGTCTCAGATAAATATATATTAGTAAACAACAAAATTAACTACTCAA